GCCACAGTCAGCACGGACCAGTGGTAGGAATTACTGCTCAGTAATCTGGGTGTCAGAAGCTCACTGCCTCTAGCAACACCAAGCAGCTGTTAATAGGTTAAAGGAACTTTAAAAGAATAGAATATACTTAAAAATTAGAACCAGTCATTAAAGTTACTCTCACTGTGGCTGGTGGACGCAGCCCTGGGCTCATGCAGGACACGGGTACAGCTGCAAACTCTACTCACTGCAGTACTCGGATTAAGCAGCTTTTGGAGTTGGGTTTTCAGGGAACATTCAGGTGCAGTGCCTTGTATTTTAGCCATTAAAGCAGTGTAGCCACTGTAAACTCCCCAGTGTGCACAACACAGTCCGTGGCTTCATGGGAGAGATGCTTCTGCAGTGTCCACTTCACTGATTTATCCCACTGCAGCTCTCAGTTGTTTAGAAACATTAAACCCATCTCTTCTTTCCAAACCAAATGATAAGTGCTGGCACCCATTGTGAGCAGAGTTCTTGCTGTCTTTGTGCTGGTGAAAGCAAAGAGCTCCAGCTCTGCAGCTGGCAGGGCTCTTGAGAGAAAACAAATATTGAGGACCACGTAAAGTGTACTTTAAAAACCAGAGACCACAGCCCTGGAGCAGGATTGTTGCCCAGGTAACCCCTCAGTGGCAGAGAGAGGGCTGAGTGTTTGTGCACACCTGGTGGGGAAGGGACACTGTCTCCTTTGTTCCTGGGGTTTCACATATCTCCCTTCTGAAGCTTTTCCACGCTGACCTTCCAAGGTCACCGCAGCCTCTGTGAGTTTGCAGCACGTTGACATGGCTGTCACTGATCCTGACAGTCCACTCTGTGCCAGTGCTTCAGTGCTCATAAAGCCCTGTTTTGGAGAAGGCTGAGGGTCACCTGTGAACAAGACATTAATGCCAGTGCCAGGCTGACATGACCCTCATTTTCCCTGTAGCTGTGTGCAGCTCTTCTACTCGGTGAGGAGAATCTTCCAGCTGTTCTATGAAGTGGTGCCAACATACCACAAGTAAGTGTGTCTGTGTGTGTTCCCTAGGGCCTGTGTTGAGAGGGAATAATGCTACTGGAACACTCCCACTTGGGGTTTACTAAGGGCTTCCTCCAGCAGCAAAAAGCTCCTATTAATCTATTGCTAAATCATACCTGTGCAAAGTAGGTGCTTGAGGGTTTCTGAGTTGCCAGTCCAGCGAGCAGGGGGATGGTTGAAGTTCTTGCATGGTTGTATTTGTTTCCAGCCACGTAACTTTGACCCCAGGTCTGATGCACAGATTTTTAATGATGTTTTTCCTGCAAAAAAGAAAGCAGCAATGAAGGGACAATGAAAGGACGCAATCCTGTCAGAGAACATTGGAGTGTTCCTGACAGGACTTCTCTCCCTTTTCCTCACCATAACTTTGCTGTAACAAAGTATATTTCTGTTTGAAAGTCCGCAGCTAGAAAAAGAGTGGGATACCACATGGTTCAAATGCTCCTTTCCTGTGGGATCCTTTGGGAATGTGACAAGTTCAGTATTTTTATTCTGACTGATACCAGTCAGGCCTCGCCCATTTTCTGCAATGCCTGCAGGGAGCTTCTCTGGGGTAGGCACAGCTATTTTTTTTAACAGATTAATAAAGAAATCCATTTCTTCCTTCTCTCTTCCTCCTGCCTGGGGCAGGGAGAGCCTGCAGAAGTTCCCCCAGCTGGCAGCCATCCACCACAACAACTGCATGTACCTCGCCCACCACCTGCTCACCCTGGGCCACCAGTTCCGCTACCGCACCACCAACATCCTGAGCAACGGGGCAGCCTCCTTCGTGGACCTGGTGCCTGCCTTCAGGAGACTGGGTAACACCTTCCTGGCCCAAAACACACGCCTGGGGCACGTGGCAGTTAACCCTGGCAGCTGGGGCTGGGTGGTTTGATGGAGGAGTGGCTGCTGACTCCCTGGGAGCAGGGCATCGTTATTATTTGTGGCAACAACATTTTCCAAACTGGGAAGTCTTGGCTCTTCAGAACCCAGCTCTTGTCCAGCACATAGTTCCACAAACTGTGTGTATTCCAGCACAATGTTGTAGCACTATGTTTTGGGATCTGCTGCTCAGTCCTTTAATGTTTTCTTCAGTTTATCCTGTGGAAACAAATTCAGAGGGAAGTTTGTCAGCTAACAGGAGTCATCCACACTTAATTCTGCTACTCTGCTCTTTTTCAGAATTGTTGTAGCAATGCAAGCTGCACAAAAGCTTACTGGTTAAATTGGCTCTATGAGACTGTTTAGAGACTGGAAATTCGATTAGAAATAAAACACTATAGCAAGTTCATTATTCAGCAGTTGTAGTCATAAATAGGCACAGCAAATTTAGTACTTGCTTAACTGCTTCTCCCTGCTTGCTTTTCCTCCTAAAGGGATGGAGTGTTTTAAGGCCCAGATGCGAGTGCAGAAGGGGGAAATCCTGGAGAGGCTCTCAAGTGCCAGGAATTTTTCTAACATGGATGATGAGGAAAATTTCCGTGCAGCAAACAAAGCCATCAGGCAGGTAAGGAAGGCAGTCAAAACAGGGTGGAACTGTTAAAACAACTATTTTCTGACATGTTTTTTATTTTTATCCTGGGCTGTGTCTTTAGCAGGATATTTCATTGCCTTTTGCTTCTTTCAGCCTGGTTTCTGACCAGAAGTGGTCACCTTATCCCTTGGTGCCTTTCCTAATGTTCTTTTTGATAACATGGAGGTAACACAGAGCTGTTCATTCCAGGTATTGCATCAGTTGAAGAGGCTGGGCCAGGTCTGGCAGGATGTCTTCCCAGTGAACGTGTACTGCAAGGCCATGGGGACATTACTGAACACAGCCCTGGCAGAGATTGTCACCAGGATTGTTGCCCTCGAGGTACCTGCTGGGGTGGATGTGCCAGCCCTGGGGTGGTGGAGACATTTGTGACCTTGCTGGTCCCAAGGTCAGGGTTCAGGGGAGCAGTTACCTTTCACAGAAATTGTAACTGTGTGTCCACAGGAAATGTTCACAGCACCTAGTTTTGATTTCACTTGGCACTCCAAAAGTAAATCTCCCTGCTCCACTGTTAATATTTTCTCCATTGCAGGATATCTCTGCAGAAGATGCAGACAGGTTGTACTCACTCTGTAGGATCATGGTGGAGGAGGGACCCCAAGTCTTCACCCCTCTACCTGAAGAAGAGAAAAACAAGAAGTACCAAGAGGAAGTTCCAGTCTACGTGGAGAAGTGGATGACATTCAAAGAGCTGATGATCATCCTGCAAGCCAACCTCCAGGAAATTGTGGATCAGTAGGTGTCTACCTTTCTCCCTTCTCAGTTGGTTCTCGGGAGCAGGGAAGTGTCTGACAGCAGCAGGGGCTGTCCAGAGGAAAGGCACTCACTGCTCCTGAGGATCAGGCAGCTGCTCCTGGGACTGCTTTTGGGGTTCACAGTCCATTTCAAGCTTGCTCATAATTTCCTGCAGCAGAAGGAAAAGGCAAAATGGTAAAAAACCAGGTACTGTGGGAGAGCCAAGCACAGAGTGTTGGTGCATCCCCTTGGCTTCTCCAAGTTCAGGGGTGTCTCACAGGGAGCAGCCTGGCTGGCATTCCACCTGAGTGCCCTCTGCTTTTTAGGATGCTGTTTCTTGCTGCTTTTTACCTTGCAAGGGGGATTCATCTGAACTATCCCTGAGGATTTGCATAATCACTTCTGTTACCTTGGCTGGCAGGAGCTGGGCAGTCCCTGCTCACAGCTGCCTCACACAGAGCTCTGAAGGGCAAGAAAACACCCAGTTCTCAGCAGGTTAAACCAGAGAGGCACCAGCCACAGGGAGGGCACAGAGGGAAGGCAGCTCCTTCCCTGGGCCCCTGGAACTGGGTTACTCACCAGAGGTTCCCAACTCCACTTCCACCTGGGCATAAACCACTTTCTTGTGTTCTTAAGGAATGGGAATTTTGCAGATGGGCTTTAGGCGTATTTAGGAGAAAGAAAAGGTTCTGAGTGCAGGAATCACCTCACAACCTGGTGCTCTGTGTACCTGGCTAAACAGTTCTGGGCTGGGGCTGCACACATACCTGGTTAGTGACCACTGGAACAGCTCCTCAGAGGCTTGTCTTCATGTGCCATTCCCAGGCAGTTTGGTTAAATAAAGCTCTTTTTCTCCCCTCAGGTGGGCAGATGGGAAGGGCCCTCTGGCAGCCGAATTCTCAGCAGCTGAAGTGAAGAGTCTGATCCGAGCCCTGTTCCAGAACACAGAAAGGAGAGCAGCAGCACTGGCCAAAATCAAGTAACCCCACGTTTCCACCTGCACTTTGCATCTTCAGATAAAGCAAGAGCAAACTGAGACTTTCAGATATTTTTTTGATTTGACCTTTTTTATTTGTACTGGTGTAAAAAAAAAATTAGAATTGGGTAAGTGCTTCCTGGAGCTTGGCTGGGGGAGAAGGAACATTTCCTGGCTCAGTGTTTGAGGGGCTGGGAGTGTGGGGCCAGGAGCTCACAGTGAGGAACACACAGACACTGACTGCCAGACACCTCCTGCCACGCTCCCCACAGCAGTTCTGCCCACATCCAGGTTTTCCTTCAGGAGCTGGTGGGTGTCCTGGAGAAGGAGAGACGCTTTTGCTGATGTTTGCTAGTTCCCATTCTCTAGGATTTCATCTTCCTGTTCAGGCCAGCATAGGAAAATAAATCAAACCTTGTATCCAGCATCTCTGTGAGCACAGGCACTGCTGCCAGACGAGCCTCCCATGTGAGGTGCTGTGGAACCTCATCTCAGACTGGCCTCAGGGTCCTGCAGAGGGGTTTTATTGCTCAGTAGTGACTCTCATCTATGCAGTTCTACATCAGGGGGCCTGGAGCCCCTCTCTGTCTTACCTCTTCTGTCCCTGCAAGTTCCACATGAAACCCACACACTCAGAGCTTTTGCCATCCTCCCAGGAATGCTGAAGTGCCAAACTTAGCTTTCCCACCTCAGGTTCTTCTGAGGGACAGACCTCAAGAGAGCAACAATTTAGGGGGGATTTGGGGAAAGGAGATCCTGTGCAGAGTGAACTGCTGATCAAGTCACAGGGTTTTGCACAAGTAGCAAAATTCTCTTATTTCTCATGGAAAATATCTAAAAACTGACTTAGAATTTTTCAGTCTCGCTTTACCAGCTGTAGAAGCCAGTTCAGCTCCTTCCTTTGTGTTTTTGTTGGCTGTGAACTGGGTAGCTCTGGTGTCTTTCTGGTATTATATTTTCTGTCCTTTAAGAACAGCGATAGAAGTGTAAACCAATGCAAAAAGGGAATGAAAGGTGCACTTGTAGCATTGTCTTTTTCAGTCACAAAAGGCTGTGGTTTAGATTTTGAGAAATTTCTCACCCAATTTAATTGAAAAACTCACTGAGAGCATTCACTTAAATTAGCCCAGAGGCCAAGATGCTGCACACGTGGAGCAAAGTTCTACCTGCCCTGTCGTGCTCACTAAAGTTTCAGTCACAGAACTTGGTGTTTTTAATCTGTTATCTCCTGTTGTATCCTTTTCATTTGCACTTTTGTCCAACTTCTGTTCTCATTCCAAGCATTTTTGCAGGGCCTGAGGCCCTGACTTGTGTCACCCAAGCCCTTGCAGAACCCTTCTGCTCTGGTTTAACTGATGTGGGGAAAGGGAAGTCCAGTCTAATGGGCAGTTAGACTGAGCCCAGCACATGGGAATGCAGCAGAGAAGGGAGGTACTGAAGCAGAATCTGCCACTCAAAACTTAGCTGTTTCTTTTCTTCCCCTCCCAGTGATTCACCCAAAGGCTAAGAGTGTTGCCCATACACTGACATCTCATAGGACCCCTTGTCCCTTTACACACAGCAATCCAAAAAAACCACCTATTTTGAACAGCACCACTTCTCCCATGTTTATTGTTCACAGAAATGTAATTTGCTATTTTCTTTAATAAACTATTTATACTGAGCACGTTTGGGGTTCTGTTCAGGTTACAGTGACAGGATGAATCAGTCCCTCCTTGCCTGATTTCTAGTAGATCTAATAAATAAAAAGAAAACAGAAAGAGGAATCAGTGCTATAGAAGAGGTCGTCCCAGAGGCTCATGGGTCGAGGGGAGTGACACAAAGAGTTCAGTGGGATGCTGGCACTGGGGTTTGTCTGGGGAAGATGCAGGGCTGTAGGGCGGGCTGGGCACACACCAGGGCTTACCTGAGTGACCTGGTGAATCCAGGGCAGGAGCTGGGCCACGTTGGTGTAGACCCCGGGGTGGTTGGGCTCAGCACAGCCCTGGCCCCAGCTCACGATCCCCACCAGGCGCCACGTGGATCCATCCCAGCACACGAGGGGGCCCCCACTGTCCCCCTGCGGGCAGAGCCAGGGCTGAGGGAGCTGCTCTGCCCCCCGGGCAGGTCAGGCAGGTCACAGAATCCCAGACTGGTTTGAGTAGGAAGGGACCTTAAAGTTCATCCAGACCCACCCGTGCCATGGGCAGGGACACCCTCCACTAGCCCAGGTTGCTCCAAGCCCCATCCAATTGGACAAATTGGACACTCCCGGGGGTGGGACATCCAAAATCAGGCAGCCTGCCTCCCCAAGGACCTCGCCAGGCTGCTGTGTCCCAGCTGGCCGTGTTCCCTCAGCCACACAGGAGGCTGGCAGGTGGATCCATGCACCCCCCCAGCATTCCCACTGCTCCCAGCGTTACCTGGCACGCGTCCACCTGCCCGCGGGGGTACCCGGCACACAACATCCTGGCAGTGAGCTCCCCCGGGTACATGCACGAGCTGTTGCACCTCCGGGTCCCGATCAGGGGCACCAGGGCCTCCTTCAGCGTCCCAGCCAGCTGTGCTGGGATGGGCAAAGAGGGGCCAAGAGGGACAAACAAGGTCTGCAGGGAGCAGCAGGGGAGAGCAGAGCACTAGCTGGGGAAGGCAGAGATGGGGAATTGGGATTACTTCATGGGGTTGGTACAGCCAGGCTCACAGGAGCTGTGGGTGTGGCGTGCAAGCTGCTGGAGCAGGGGTAGGACGAGGGCAGGGGGTGCATTTGGAAGCTCACATGTGGAATGGAAGGGGCTGGATGGGGCAGTGGGGAGCAGGGGGAAAGTCTAGGGCAGTGCTGGGGGACAGGGAGGGGGAGCTCACCTTGGTCAGGGGTGGTGTAGCCCCAGCCAGAGACCCAGCACTGTGTGCCCTGGAGCAGGTCCTGGTGGGAGGGTGGCAGGCACACAGCTCGGATGGCAGCTAGGGAGAAGGGGACAGGGACAGTGCCAGGGCAGTGGGGACAGCTCTGCCAGGAGCAGCCAGGGAAGGGCTGCAGAGCCCTCAGCCTGACTCGGAGAGTGGGTCTACCTGCTGTACTGGGACACCAGGTCTAGTTCGGACACCAGGTCTACCGGTTCGGACACCAGGTCTGTGCTGGGACACCAGGTCTACTCGCCCGGTTCGGACACCAGGTCTACCCGCCCGGTTCGGACACCAGGTCTACCCGCTCGCACCTCGGCGTCCGAGTCGAGGTGGCCAAAGCCATCCCACGTGAAGATGGGACATCTCTGAGCCAGCTGAGGATCAGCTGAGGATCAAGGCCAGCCTGGATGGAGCTTTGAGCAACCTGGGAAGGTTGTCCCTGTCCATGGCAGGGGGTTGGATGAGCTTTAAGGTCCCTTCCAACCCAAACCATTCTGTGATTCTGATTTTGTAAGAGCTGCTCTGAAGGGACAGGTTCAGAAGAGGCTCGTTTTTGGGCAACTTTTCACAGTGGGACAGGACAGACAACTCCACAGAAGGACACAAAAACTTACCTGAGAAATTCAGGGACACTTGCAGCTTCATGAGGGCGATGTCATAGTCGAGGCTGTTGTGGTTGTAGAGTGGGTGGGGAACGACCTCCTGGACTGGCACCCCGGCCTCCTGCCTGAGGGAGCCGTGGGTGACAATCCCTGCAAACACCCGCCAGGCAGAGCCCTGGAGCCTCTTGGAGCTGAGCAGAACACAGAACACAGCGTGCCCTGACCCGAGGGCAGCGGGCACTGAGGGCTGGGGGCACAGTAGGGTGGGTACGGGGGGCCTGGGGGTACCTGTGCACACAGTGAGCCGCCGTGATGATCCACTCCCGTGCCAGCACTGAGCCCCCACAGCGGTGCTGGGAGCCCTGGCACACACTGACCTGCCAGGGCCAGCGCCCAGGGGGCACATCTGCCCCCCCGACCACCCGCACGGCCCCAGGGGGCAGCCCACACTCTGCAAGGGGTTAGGACGGGCTCCAGCCCCACATCCTCACGCTGGAGGGCGAGGGGAGCGGGTGGAACGGGAGGAAAGAAGCTGCTGGATCTGGGCAGAGATCCTGGGGATGTAGAAGAGGGAATCGCTCACCTGAGCACTTGAGAGCCACGACTCGCTCCGATCCACAGCTGCTCCTGTGCAGAGAGAAACAGCAGGAATAAATCCTCCTGGGCAGGATAAACAGCAACCAAAATCCCCGGGGCACTGGGGAGCCCCAGGGCGGCTGCAGCACTTCCCAAAGGGGCTGTTTACTGCACAGCACCTGCACAGTCTGCTGTGTTCTTAAGCCTGAAAGAAAAGGCTTCAGCCAACTCAGAGCTGCCCTTACCTGACCTGCCACAAGTCTTCCAGGCTCCCTTCCTGGCGGGGTCTGACCTGAAGGAACTGCTGCTCCTTGTTCACCCTGACATCCGTCAGGTTCACTCCTTTCTGATGGGTCATTCTGCAAAAACAAGGGGAATTGCCCCAGGAAGGGGATCAGGAATGTGACCCTGCCATGGGAACAACACTCCTGCAGTCCTGCAGCTCTGGCAGCTGGGAATGAACCTCTGGGCAGGGAGGGTCTTCTGGAGCTGTTCTTGCAGGTCCCCGGGTCATCCCAAGTCCCAAGTTCCACCTGCTGCCCTGACAAACCCCCAGCCTTCAATCTCCTGCTTTTGCCAAGATCATCCCCTGTTTTGAGAACAGGGCAAACAGGGGCCCAAGCAGCTGCCTCTGCTGTGCCCACCTGAGGTACCCGAGCTGCTGGCAGAGCAGGGTGCCCAGGGAGCCATTCCAGCCCTCGTGGCACACCAGGAGCCAGCCAGGATGTCCTTCCAGCTGAGCTTCCAGCAGGGAGTTTGCCGTGTTTATTCTGAAAGACACTACAGCCATTCCATTAAAGACAACCTGCGAGTCCCCTTGGCAGTGTTCTGTGCAGGTCACACACGGCTACAGCAAGAAGGACCCACCCAAACCCCCAGAAAAAGCCATCTGAGCAACTGGAAGCTACAAGTGATCCCAGTCACTGGGTGGTCCCAGGCAAAGGAGCCCTGCAAGAGTTGCCTTTGCTGTGGGATCCCCCCATGCAACGGAGCTGCAGTTCTGGGGGAAGCAGCAGGACTTAGAAGAAAAGCAAAACAACTGCAAAACACAGCTAGTGGGTCAGCAGGAGATATTTGTTCTTAAAGAGCCCCTTTTCTGTTCTTCCTGGGCTTGGCAGAAGCCCTCTCCCCACCCTTTTTGGCAGCAAGCAAAGACACAAACCTGTACCGGGAGCCCCCCGGACCACGGGCTCTTCCTCTTCCCCGTCACCGCACGCTGGGATCGCATCCGGCTCCTGCAGTGGGGGGGACCCCTGCTCTGGGTGAGCCTCCTGCAGGTGTTTCACTGCAGGAAACAGAGAAGGGGGTGCACATGGACCCACACAGCCTGGGCAGCACCCAGGATGCACGATACTGGGGACAATCCTGCAGTGTCACTGGAAGAGGGGAATGAGCCTTTCTGGCACCACAGCAGCAGAGCCCGCAGCAGCCACATCTCTCCATCCCAAGCTACAGCTGACTGACCAAGGAGCTCCCATCACCACCCCCCCAATGCTGATGCCCCAAACTCGCAGCAGGGCCATCCTGGGGACACACTGACCCAGCAGCCACGTCCCAGCCGCTGTCCCCGCCAGCAGCCCTGCGACCCCGAGCAGCAGAAACAGCCTCCTGAGGGTGCAGAGAGTCCCAAAAGATGCCTCAGCAGGATCTTTAAAAGAGGGACAGAGGATCAGTGTGGTTTGCCCACCTCTCACAGCTCTCCCAAGCCCTGGTGAAGCCCCTGGGTCACTGGGCACCAGTTTTTAGGGCTCAGTGCTCCTCTCCCGCAGTGCCGGGAGGAGCTGAGCTAAGGCCGTGGATTCTGTGGGAGTTCAAGGCTCAGGGCACCCTCCCCATTCCCAAAACCCACAAACAGCTCACCCACGTGTCCCAGGGAGGGCTGTGTCCCCTGTACCCCCCTCCTTGGCTCGGCTGCCAGGCTCCCTGGGCTGTGCACGGCGTCCTCGATGCCGTTTGGGTTGTCGGGAACCCGCTCGGGTGAGTCTGGACTCTGGGGAGAGGAGCAGAGTCCAGGGAGAGGATCAGCGCCAAAGGCTGGGTGTGGTAGAAGGGGACAAAGCTCTGGAATCCCCTCTCACCATGGCAGCAGGAGCAGAGCTGTGGGAGCCAAGCACACGGATCTCCAGTGACCCAGCTCGGGTTCCCCGGCACGACACGGTGCATGCGCAGCGGCCACGCTCCAGGGACTCCTGGTTCCAAAACCCCCCTTCCCCCACTGACAGGACCCTCACAGGGGTGGGGGGGATCATCCAACTGTCCCTGTCCCACCCCTCCATCCCCCTGCTCCCAGGAGCTGCTCTGGCTGGGGAGCCCCAAGGGAACGCTTCCATCCCTCCCCAGCGCCTCACCCAGTGGGATCAGCAGCTCTGGAGCTGCCTCAGCTCTCAAACCCATCTCCCACCTGCTGCCCCCCTTTCCCCCCCCATTACCTGCCATATGAGAAGCCCCAGGTGCTGCTGAGGGGCAGTGGCAGTGCCCAGGCTTTCGGTGTGAGTGGGGGGCTGCAGTTCCAGCCAGCCCTGCTGGCTCTGAGCACCTTGAGGAACAGAACATCCTAGGCTGGGGAAAGAACAGAAAAGAGCCTGGAGCTGCTTTTTATCACCCCCACACCTCCAGCCAAGTGCCTACCAGCTGTGTCATGTAAAGGACAACTCTCCTGCCCACAGGCTGCATTAGGGACGTGCTGGTGAGGGCTGGTGGACCCCCATCCCTCAGGGGGATCCTCCCCACCCCACGTGCCCAGAGATCCCAGGGAAACAGCTCCACCTGCCCAGGTGCTGGATCTTCCCTGCAGCCTTTGCTGTAGCACATAGAGAGCAGCAAAGGTCAGGCAGCAGCTCCCAGCTCAGCTTCTGCTTTGCCACGTAATTTGTTGTTGCTGAAAGATGCCGGGGCCCCACGGGAGGGGGAGAGTTTCTAACCCGTGGCTTGGCTGCTGCCTGGGCCATGCTGGGGCAGGAGATGCTTTTCCTACCAGTGCAGAGCTCTTGGTGGAACAGAAATGCCTTGTGCTGCTGCATCCTCTCATCCTCCTCTGACCCAGGGGATGCTCCACCACAGTCGTCACGCCCGAGGTGCTGCCAGTCCCCAAAAACAAAAGCAGAAACAGACTGAAAGGGCTCTCCCATGAAAGAGGGACTTTTCTTATTCACACCCTTCTCCACCCCTGAAGGGTACAGCTGACAGCCTGTTGCTCAGGTCACCAATGAATTTTTAATGCTGTTTAATCAAGGAAACTCCTGTGAGGGTTTTGTGACTGCAGGTTCGTGCTGTCCCCAAACAGCACCAGGTGGGTGGTGGCACAACCTCACCCTGTGCTGGGCAGCTGGGGTGAAAATGGGGGGGTTTGGGTGGGTTTGGATTTTTTTCTCCAGGCTCCCCCACCTCGTGTTTAGGCCAGAAAGCACCAGGCAGGGCTGCAAATACCCCCCAAGGCACAGCTTGGCTCAGCTTGAGCCTGTCCTGCTCGTGCTGTGCCGTGGCACTGGAGCATCTCCTCAGCCCGGGGAGGACTGTAGGTGGTGCTGGAGCACCAGTGGGAGAGAACAGCAGAGGCACAGGATCCAGCCTGAGCATCCTCTGCTGCTCTGGGCACAGAGGAGGGGAAGGACTCACCCCGGCTGCTGCTCCCAGCCCAGGACCATCCCAGCCTCAGTTCATCTCCCCTCCCGAGCATCCCATGCCCCGAGGCTGCCAGGAAACCAAACCTGGTAAAAGTTAAATGAAGAGGCAAAAGTTAATTGAAGATCTGAGCACAGCCAGCAAAAAACCAAAAAAACCCAAACAAAACATCTCCACTGCAACAAACCCCAGTGAGCAGGGATCAGCCCAGGCAGGGGAAAGGATAAACCAGAGCAGATTCCAAAAGGAGACACCAGGAGCAGGTGAAAAATAAAGACACATCCCCCAGCCCAAGCTGCCTCCCTGCTCTGAGTCACGCTCACTTTTCCCTTTAAAACTCATTAAAAGAAGATCAATATTTCTACCCATCCTGCTTGCCTGCAATGAGAAAACAGTGACTGAATTGAGAGAGCTTTCCAAATTAAACACTGGCACACAGATGAAAAAGGGAGGAAGGGGGACAGCAGCAGAGCTTTTTCCTCCCAGTTTTCACCATTTTTCCGTGGTTCTGCAGAAAAATGAAGGGAAGGAGAAGCGACAGTGACAACAGACCCTGGCAGCTGCTGAAGTGCCCGCGGTGCAGGGATACCTGGCACGTTGCAGAGATGCTGTGAAGCATAAGACATTCCCTTTGTCATTTTTCTAACTTATTCCCACTGAAACAAGCTCCCCTTTCCCACTGGGAGCAGCGAGCAGAGCACAGCTGAGGAGCCAGCAGCCAGATGTTGTCTCCTGCTGCCGTAACCCCGAGGCTGGCAAGGTCGTGCCTGTGCACAGCAGGGTGAGGGGCTGCCCTGGGAAGGGAGGGGTTCTGACCCTGTGTTCTAACAAGCACAAATTGTCTCCAGTTCCTCTGCTGAGATTAGCAAGACAGGGTCAATAACTGGCACATAAAACGGTGCATTCGACACCTCCCCCTGATGTTGTTCTCCAAAGTCCCAATTTGAGGATTTCAAATCACTTTAACAGCCAGTTACTGAGCTTCACCTGCTTTAATTCTCTGGTTTTGCCCATGCTGATGGCTCCATCCTTTCCCACACAAAAGCTGAGTTCTTCCCCAGGGATATTGTACAAGATATTTAGTGACAGGACAAGGGGGAGTGGTTTCAGACTGACAGAGAGGAGGTGCAGACTGGATATAAGGAAAAAAACCTTCCCTGTGAGGGTGGGGAAGCCCTGGCACAGGTTGCCCAGAGAAGCTGTGGCTGCCCCATCCCTGGGAGTGTCCAAAGCCAGGTTGGACAGGGCTTGGAGCAACCTGGGCTGGTGGAAGGTGTCCCTGCCCATGGCAGGGGGTGGAACTGGATGAGTTTTAAGGTCCCTTCCAACCCAAACCATTCCAGGATGTAGCCAGAGGGACCCTGAGCCTCCAAAACAGTGTTGGGGGAAAAAACAAACAAACAAACAAAAAGGGAGTTTCACTTACCAGCTTTAAAGCATCTCTTGTTGCTGCTTTTGCCTCAAGGAGAGGCTTTAAAGCCCTCCCTGCACTCCCTGAGTGCTCCCATCCCAGCTCACTGCCCTGGGGGAGCACAGGGCAGGTCGGGTGTGAGGAGGGCTGGGAGCTCCCAGCAATGCTGGCTGGATTCCTGCCCCAGGCTGCCAGGGCTCTGCTCCTGACCTGGTGCCCAGCGAGTTTTTCCTTTGAAAACCAGCCTGTTTTCCCCAGCTGTGTGCTCTGAGGGACACCAGGGCTTGGGTTCTTACCCACAGAGTGGGAAGTCGCAGACGAGCAGCACAGAACCCCGGGAGCCCCAAAACCCTCTGCCCTCACCCCAGAGGGGCTCCAGGAGAGCAGACCCGATAAAAGCAGCCAAGTAAACCCAGAGAAAGGCAGGATTGGCTGGAGCCAGGACACAAGCACATTCAGTCTCGTGCTCCAGGCTGCTGAAGCAAAGGGCTCAGCAACAACTGGGGCAGAGAGGGGCAGCACATGAGAAATGGTCATTGATTCAATCCAGGAGCTGGAGTTCACAGGTTCCCCTGCCTGTTCTCCCTCCTGGACCATTTCCTTCCTTACCTCATTTCTTCTTCCTTCCCTTCCCCTCCTACCTAATGAAAGTGCCTCTCCATGAGATAAGGCAGCTGCTGGAAGCCTGTAATGAGAGAAATGGCCAAAAGCAACAGCCTAAAGACCTGCCTGGTCCTGGCAGCAGCCTGCCAGATCTCATCAGGGATGATGTACCCTGGATTGTGTCTTCCCAGCAGTGATGCTGTGGTCAAAATAAAGAAAAAAAATATAAAAAATGAATAATAAGCTCCCAAACAGTCTCCAGCCCCCCCCCCCTCAGACAGAGGGATGTGCTGACATGAAGGAAGGGAATTTATGAGTTCATTTGCCTGATCCACCTCCCACTGCAGCACAGAGGCACAGGCAGAGCAGAACCCATCCACTGCCCTGCTCCAGCCTCTTTCCCGAGGCAATTTGCTGTGTAATGATTATGGAGTTGAGAAGGCAATTTCAGGAAAACTAGTTTTCTCTCCAGAAGGAATCGAATAGAGGAACTATTATAACCCGATACACTAATTTATTTAAAAAGCAGCTGGCACCACGTGAGGCAGGCAGGGCCAATTCAGAGGCAATTCTCTGCAGAGACTGTTCCAGCCTCCCCAGGCCCAGGGCAGGGTACAAGCCCTGCCTCAGACACTGCAGGACCCACAGGCTCTGGCTCCAGACAAGCAAATACCAGGACTTCCAAGGGAAAGGGTGACAATTCCCAGGTCCTGTGAAGGCACAGACCTCCCTGCCCTCCCATGTCTGTGAGGTCTCTCTTGTGACTGTCACTTCCTTCAGACACCTCGTGCTTCCCAGGGAAAAGCAGACGGGGTGACTGTGAGTTATCTGGTGCTCGTGTGTTTGTGCTTCTCCAGAGGGGACACAGCCAGAGCAGGGCTGGATCCTCATCCATCACCCCCTAAATGGAGAATTTAGAGATGTCAGGGATAAAACTTCTTCATTGTTTGCATCATGTTCCAGGACAAAGCTGTCCCAAGGGGTTTCTCCTCGGAGACAAGGCACAGAAGAATAATTGTTAAGGAGCAATTAATATTGTGCTCCTTCTTTCCCATTTCCAAACACAGGTCTTTCTATCACTGCCAGCTGACTCTCTGCCCTTGCAAATCGCTGAGGACCCAAATCCCAGGAAGGGAAGAGGGAAAGGCCTTCAGGAGACTGGATGGCACTGGTTATACCCACCCCCCCTGCAGGGCAGTGCCCTCGGGGTGGCAGTGGGACGGTGCTGGGAGCAGTTTGCCTCTGCAGATGGTACAGAGAGAGGAGCAGAGACAGGCTGTGACCCGGGCTGGCCTCACATCCCAGCCCAGACAGGCAGGCTGACGTGTGGCTGTGAGCTATGGGAGCCCCTGCCCTGTGCTGCAGCCCCGATGAAGTCACGCTGATGTCACGGTGGGGAAGGGCTGCCAGGTCCTGCCTGGGCAGCACAGACACCCTGTGCTGGCAGCAGGGAGCTGAACCTGCCCTGCCCAACCCCTTCCCCAGCAGAAACAAAAATACCAACAGCAAACACCCCAGCTCTGGAGTTTTCAGCCATTTCTCAGCCATGGACTGTCCTGAGCCCACCAGGGGCAAATTGAGGTGATCCTTACGTTGGTCCTCACGTTCTGCCCTGCCAAGGGGCTGAAGAGGAAACCCAGGGGGGTGTGTGAGTCCCTGCCTGCTTTCCCCCTGCAGGGAACTCTCCAGCCTGAACAAATCCAGCAGTGAGGAATCTGCCTGAGCTGCAGAGCCCTCAGCCAGCTGCCACCCCATCAGCTTCTCCTCTCCCCAAGGGCACGGGAGAGTCAGGGCTCAGAGACACGTTCCTCAGCTGTCAGAGCTGTAGTTCCAGCAGATGCTTTTCCTGAACCCCTGCCCCTGTTCTGGGCTTTTTTCTCCCAGGATTTCATCCCAGAACAGCCACATCAGTAAAGCAGGTGCTGGCTGTGATTTCCTCCAGCAAAAGCTCTCCAACATGGGCTTATTTGGAAAAGGAACATTCCTCAGGCTGCCCAAAGCCAGGCTGTGCCCACCTCACCCTCTGCAGCATCCACAGAGGCACCTGCAGGGCGTGGCCTTACCTGCCCCAAAATCACTCCCTGCCCTGCTCCCAGAAGGGTCACTGAAGTCCATGCCAGGGGCAGCAGAATTTTCCATTTCTGGCTCTTTCTCAAGCCCAAGCAGCACACTGCCTTTGGAGAACCTTTCTGCATCGTGTGCTCCCCGGGGGACACATCCTTGGCAGGGCTTTGGGTCTATAAGGTAGAAAATCGAGTTGCAATCAAGGTCCTGCCAGAGAGTTATCCACCTGTGAAGATGTACAGGTCTCTG